ATCTATAGGATGGGCCATTGATATGGGAATGATGGGGAGGGAGGTCCCAAAATCATATCAGGGTTTCAACCTCAGATAATGAGGAGAGAAATTAGTTGAGAGGGGCAGAAGGAATGAATTCTGAATTTGAGATGCCCAAGAACCTCCAGAACCATTGCATGTGGCTCTTTGTTAGGCATTGAAGAATGACTGTCATATGGGATATCTGTTGTATGGGACTGTAGTATAGTCAATCCATGATGCAGGGAAACTGGACCACCAAAAGCCACATTCCTGAGCCACATTATCTTAGCCCTCTTATGTATTTCCATTGTTGAATAGCATTTTAATTTTATGCTTGCAGCTTTTATTGAAAACTGTACTTGAATTTCCCTTATTTGCCATAGGAGCATTGCCTAGAACTTTTTGTATAAAGCTTCATGTAAGACATTTCTTTAGAATAGTGGTTCTTTAACCAGCTAGAGGGCTTGTTAAAAGCCACATTATTGGGCCCCAGGGTCTCTGATTCAGTAGGTCTTGGGTGGGGCCTGAGAACTGGCATTTTTAGCATGTTCCGGGGTGATACTGAACTGTTGATTCAAGAGTGTCCTTTGAGGACCTCTGCTTTAGTACGTAGTTAGGAAAAGCTTTGCTCTCACTGAAGAAACTAGAGTATATCTCTGTTTATAATAATGAGGATTATAGAACTTTTTGCTTTGGTGGCCAGGAAACTCAGTCAAATTTGAAGCCCACGTAGGGTCTTATGGCCATATTTAATTCTTTCTCCTAGTTTTGATATTCTACTTTGTTTGTTTTCTTTAGCTCTGATTTTTTGTGTTTGTTTTGCCTTTATTTTATTATATGTATGTTTTCTTGTGGTAAGTTAAACCTTTAGACTTGGACACAAAACTTATGAGATAAAAGGTAAGTGGTGACAGACCTGGCAAAGAATTCCTAAAAAGAAAACATTTTCTTTATACTCAGTGCAAAATAATTGTGGGGTTACTCGTCAGTGTACTATATACTTAGAAAGATATATAAAAATACTAATTGATGCCACATCTAAACAATTAAGACAGTATTATGGCCAGTAAGTAGCCATGAAAGATGTATTTGGGGCCCCTACAGCTGCCACTTCTGTCCACCCACCTGTAGGTAAGTGACTCAGGGCTCGATTTTGATACGCCAAGCCCAGAGGTGACTGTGGCATGCAAGATTCATCTACTTCCTTCTGCTCCTTTCCAGACAAGCAGGGGATGCCCTGTGTGAGCGTGTTCTTTAGGAGAGGAATTGGGATACTTTCATAGGGACTTGTGATTGGAGAACCCATAGGGTCATTAGTTTCAAAGAAGTTGAGCAAGGAATGGAGGCACTTGGTCCTATGTTGGCCACTTTACATACAAAGAGCAATTTTAATTTTGCTTTTATGGAAAGACCTGACTAATGGACCAGGTCCCATTATGTTCCTGGGTAACAAGCATCGAAAAGTTGTGTCTGTGATACGCTCATGAAATGCAAAACTTAAAGACCATAAAAGAAGTTATTAAAGTTTTCACTGTATGATGATGGTCTGTTTCCACCCACTTTTTGATGTGCCAGAGAGCTTAAAAATATACAGATAATAAGAACTAAAAGATTAGGAATATAACAAAAATAAAATGCTTGCTCTAAGTATTTGCAAAAGGAACTAGGGAATTTCATGGAGAGGTTAGAAGAAGCACATATGTTATAGCAAGAGCATACTCTCATGTGGCCTCATTCAACTACATCATTTCATATGATCATTACCCTATAATGTTCCTTCTGCTGTTCTTTACACCACCGTCCCTACCCACTGCCTTCCAGAGGCCTTTCCTGACCCCTCAAGGAGGCTTTGGATTCTGCCCCTGTGCTTGGAAAAGCACCCTGCATTTTTCAGGTATCACCTTGTCTTATAACTTATCAATAAAAATCCCAACCTTTTATGTAACAATGACCCTCCACTCTGGTTTTTCCATTTTTACTCTTCGTTTCTTTGTGCCCAGTGTGAATTCTTGTTAAAACCATGTTAAAAGCTAGAACGGTTTGACTTTAATCCATTTTAGCCACTT